TCTGTTGTGCTGGACTTTCTAGTTGTTCAGTAATTTTATTAAAGTTTCCATGTTCGCAAGGAATTACATTTTTGCAGCTACTTGGTTTCACCTGAAGCTTGTTCAAGTTACTTTTGTTTGCAGGTTTTACATTTTTGCTAAAGTATGAAGACCTGATGAACACAGAGAAACATATTCTGGTTTTGAATTTTAATGCAGAAAATGCAGGAAAACTTCACAGGCTATAGTGATTTTAGTACAAATTCATATTGCAGTAATGGAATAAAGAATGAACTTTGGCTTCTACAACACCATTTTCCCAATTTGCATTCATCTGGTAAGTTACTTGTAACTATGGTACCAGGTATTACATGTGTAATATAACTTATTAATATTAATTTTAATACATTTAATTTTAACATTTCAATACATTTACTTTTTAATATTGATATTGCTTTTATTAATAAGTGGGGCTTACATTACAAACATTCACAATTCAGGAAATGAAATATTCCTCTCCATGAAACCCTAACATGGGTTTTTTATTATCCTTTTAACATGCAGAAAGCAAAAGCTTTTTCTGTTGTTCAACAACAATATTTTCCTGATTCCTATATCTCTTTAAAAGATGATGTTATATATAGGATGAACAACTATCTGTTCTGCAAGGAAATAAATTAAAAGTAGAATATTTAATTAGTAGGAAGAGACAAACCGAATAAAGGACAAATATCACTGACAAGTCACCCCCAAAATAATAAAATATGCTTATGTATGGTTTTGTGTAATATATAGCACTTTCTAAACAGATTTATTTAATTTCCCCTCAAAGTTAAAGTATTTACTTTAATTTTCCCTCAAAGTTAAACCCATAAAATGTAACTAAGATCAGGTCCAAAAATCAAAGACAAAAATCCTGAAGAAGTCAAAAGTCAAATTCCAATTTCAGTCCTTGATCTTGTATGAGAATTATTCACATGCAAAGAAGCACACCTAAAGACTTTATTACAAGAATAAAACCAAACTAGACACTATAGTAGACAGTACCCAGGATATTTTGAATACACTGCTAATAATTAAATATATGTGAAACCAAAATAAGGAAGAGAGTATTACATGCAGAATACAAAAAATACATTTAAAATAAAGTAAAATCAAGACAAAGTCAGTAAAAACCTAAGCAAACATCTGAATCACTCTTGGATAATGTTGCAGAAGAGAACTGATGACAATGATTTCCTAGTAAATTCAAACAAAAATATTTCTCACTATGACAAAACTGAAAGAGAAAATTCTACTTTCAGCCTTATGTTATTTGTATTTATTAATCAATAAAAGTTATGTATTAGACACGGGAGAACAGCTATGGAAAACAAGTAGCTATACTAAATAATCTTTTTTTCCCATAATTTGCTATATCTAATCACCTTCCTTCTAAATTATTGTTTCCAACTCCAGAGCAGTTAAATCTTACTTAATTTCTAAGTTATTACTAAAAGCAACACATTAGACTTCCTGAGAATTGCATAATATTAAGAGATCTAAAAATTGTATTTCTTCCACAGAGATTTAAGAGAAAGTTTTAAGAGTTGCATCTTTTGCCAAAAAACATTAGCATTTGAATTAAATTCTCACTAGCATGCTTAGCTCATGAAAATAGCCTTATTTTAAGTGCACATAGTGCTGGAAGCAAAACACAAGTCTGGACTCAATGAACTGCATGAATATCATCACTACTGTCATTTTCTTACTCACTTCTTTGCCTTAAAGCTGCACATAGATCAGCCCCATGTGCCTTTTTGCTTTTCTCTTCTCTTCAATCACACGCTCCTCTAATCCTTCAGTCAGCCTACAAATCTCAACTTGCAACTCTCCTTGTTTTCATTTCCTTATTTTTATTTTACTGCCCAAATAGTTTTGAGTCCCCTCAGCACTCACCTGCACGCCAGGTACTATGTAACCATTCCCACCCCTCCTGGGTGACTCACTGGTGTGATACAAGAAATAAAAGCCTCAGAAATAATAAACTACTAGCAAAACCAGATCTCTCCAAAGTACCATCATCCCCTGAAGTTTCGTAGGAACTTCTTGCCTGTGTTTTAGTATAGGCTAGAGATCCCTCAGGGCAAGAACCAAGTTATTTATGACATAATTAAACAAACAACAGCATTATACTAATTCACCCTTCAAAGAGATACCCTGAGATAGTGGTACATATCACTCACCCAAATCTCCAAACAATATGCCATCTATCAAAAGCAGGTAGCTGTCAGCAGAGGTAACTTCCCTGTACCACACACGCAGGTCACTCAGTAATCTGGTCCCTTCACATCAGTGTTTTCCACTATGAACATAGGGCAATTTAAGCACCTAATTTGCAGGTGTTGGAGGCAATCCTCTTGATATTTTCTTTAAAACACTCCAGCAAACACAGACTTAGTAGTTAGCAGCCCAGTCTGCATAGTGGGAGGTGCAAAGCAGGCCCTAAGAGTTTGCTCCTGTCACCATGGGACTGTGCTGTCTCAGGGTCTCTCGCTGGTCAGAGTGATCCCGAGAAATGTTAGAAAGTCTCTTTTCCCAGCCCAGTGCTTGAAGAAGGAATCAGAGCTCTTCAGTTCTTGGTCTCAAGGTTGTTTATTGTTCCTTATCTATAAAATACTTTCTCCTGTCCAGCTGAGGTACGCTCAGCGGGACAGTCCAGGCACACTGCCTGCCCCCGGGGCGGTGTTATGTCTTTATACTAAAAATCACATATACAATGTTTACAATTACTTTCCAATACCTATCACCTATGTTAGACAGTGAGCTTCTACTCTAAACCAATCACAGTAGAAGATGGAGGCCAACAAGAAGAAGGAGAAAAGCAGGACACACCCAGATCCCTCCATCTTGTCCCCCTGAACCCCCATTCTAAAAAACCCCAAAATCTACTTTTTCACCTCATGATAAATTCACTATTCTACTTAATTTGTCATGGATTGCAGATCTTCATCTAAGGTTGGTAACTTGGGTCATAATCAAAACCACAGGTGTTTTGGACTCTGTGCCAGGGTCTCTGAGCCCCCTGGCAGGGGTCTTGGCTGCTCAGGACATCCAGAGGGATGTCCTGCATTCTGACATTGTGCCAGAGGCATGCAGGGGACAGGGGCATTACAAGGCTCCATCCCCAGCGCCCACTGGAGCAGATGCCCTGGGATGCCTCTGTCTCAGGTGAGGTAGAGCTCCAGAGGGAGTGTGCTGCCATGCAGGAGTCAGTCTGCAAGGTGACACTGGCCTCACACTGGGAGAGACACTCTGGTTGGGGCACTGGGACACCAGCAAAAGGAGCTGTGGGAGGACGTGAAGAGACCATGAGGCATCATGGAGAACAAACAGAACATAAACAGGGTCACTTCAGGGATGCTGAAAAGATTTGTAGTGGACTTGGGGGTAAACTGTATGTGTCATCCCTCAGACCTGCTGCTGAGGAAGAAGAAGAACCTGGTTGGGGATATGATAATCAATGGCAGCCTTGGCTGTAACAACCATAAAACAGTGGAGTAACAAAGGCAAGAAGCAGAGGTACCCAGCATGGTTAGAAGCTGGAAAACCTGCTCCAGGAGAGGATAATGAGGGACATCGCTTGTTCAGACTGAAGAGGAATCTAAGAGCAGCCCCACCAGAACCTACACAAAGGTGACCATGATGATGAAGCTAGACTCTGACAACGCCATTCAACAGGAGAGTGAGAGATTATCAGCATAAACCAAAACAAAAAGTTGTAACTAAGTATAAAGAAAATTTCTTTGCTATGAGGATGATTTTGCAATGGAACAGGTTAACCAGAGAGGGTGTGAAATCTTTGTTGTTAGAGGTTTTCAAGATGTAGCTGGACAAACCCGCCAACAGACCAGGCAGAATTCATAGTGGGCATTTTTTGAACAGGAGGATGAACAAGAAACCTCCCAAGGTCCCTTTTGACTTGACTGAATCTGTCTGCAGTTATTACTTCTCTTTGGACCAGGTTTTTTGTTTTGAAATGGATCAGATTTTCCTCACTTCTGATACTTCAGCTTTTGCTGCAGAGTTCTCCTAGAGTTCACAAATAAATTCCTGCACTGGAGAATTCCAAATGGAAGTTGAAAACCAATAAAGAAATGGCAAATGCAAGTCTAAATCAAAAAGTCAGGTGTCAGTTCATTAATTCTCCAAACCTTTTGCTGTATATGGTAGCTGAATAAACAGGAGTTTAAAAAAAACCACATTGTGAGCCTTAAAAGTGCTGGTCCACCCAAGAGAACACTCAAACTGAGCTGCCAGTACAGCACACTATTTTGTAACTCTCTGAACAAAGGCCCACAAAGCATCTCCAAAAACTTCTGCAACAGAAAAATGCCTGCCAAGAAAGCCACCTGTGTACTCACAGGAATGATTTAACACTATTAACAAAGGGTCATGTTTTCTTTGCAGTTCAATATATAATCCAAGCATGCCTCTCATGCACCTCAATGCTTTAATTCTCCAAACAGCTGGGCACCGAGGCTGATTGTGCTCCTGAAACTTACTAGAGCGGAAAAGAACCTGGCTACCAGCATTTCCTGAACATGGAGCTTTTTAAGTCATCAGGAGGAAATGATTTGCAGATTATGCACAGCACAGGAGTCCAGCCTTCTGCTTATCAAGACATACATTTCATAGAAGCATCTGGACATGAAACACTCTACAAGAATGCCACAGCTCTTTCCCTTTCGAAGTTTTACAACATTACAAGATTTCTAAGTCAATATTAGAAAACATATAAACCAATTCAAAGGATATTTTTGTTTTAAAAACAAAACAAACTAGCTATTTTAAATGCCTAGTTTATATTGAAATATAAAAGCACAGCCCTCAAAAAGTTTTCATCTTGATTAATCCTTTATGAATGGGATCATCAGTGACAAAACCCCACAACTATCTGGTCAGCCGATCATCCCATATATTGTAAGGCTACTTGTCCTTACAGAACTGGCAGGCAAATGTCTTTCTTCAGGACAACTCACCAATGGCCTTTGTGTAATGTCTGGCCCCAAGTAACAGCTCTGGAGCTCTGTACCAGAATGTCACCACAACAGGATCCAAGTCTGCCAATGGCTTCAAAGGTGAGTTAAACAATCTTGCAAAACCCATATCAGCTGGGGAATGGGGAGAAAAAATGAGAAGATTATTTAAATTCTAATACAAATAAATCAAAATTCAATAGTATTGTCAAAAACAATTACAACAACAGCTCAAAATCATTAAAAATTACAAATCAAAGTTTCTAACAAAACAAAAACTACTTACAACAATACTGGACCAAATTTTTCTAAGGCTAAATTCAATTTAGTTCATTCCTAAAATGATGAAGGATAACATCTGATGTGTTTTGATCATGGTATTGTAAAACTTTACATAACACAGATGCCTGTTCATTTTTTTGAACTCTAACAGAAACTTGGTTAACCAAAGTCAACAGGTTAGTAGGGCTCTAATGTACATTTTCTCCTTTATTTTTACATATGCTTACAAAACCGTGAGTCCTTGTGACAGCTATATATTTACCCAAAGTGCAAAATTAAAATGACTGCAGTGTAAATTGTTTTTGCACTATTTTTCAAGGCATGCCTCCTACATGTTTTGGAGGAATGAGCTCCAGAGTCAGTCAGCGTGCACTGCTACAGAGGTGTATTTTAAAACTAAGCATTCATTCTATGGAACTCAAAAATTCTCCTCAGAATGAGCCTGGTAAGTAATAGTAAGAAATGCTAGATGGGAAAGCACAAAATTTGGTATATTGTCAAACCCACACATTTTAAATCCAATTCAAATCTGAAACTTTTGTTTCACACAAACTTCAGTATTGCCACATGATTTATTTAAAAAAGGTAATAGCCACATCACACATCACTGAGAAGGAAATTAGATTTTGGATAAAGACCATCTTTATCCATGTTATGTTACTACATATGTTACTCACCTTGACACCAAATAACTTTTGCATAACAAACCTTTGGATCTCTACAAACATGTGCAGTAATGTTATTTATATAAAAAATAAAAAACCAAACACCATTTATAAGTAACAATGCTAACTTATGCTAACTAATCATAGTAGAAGTCTAAAGAACCCTGGTCATCACCACTGTTCTCTGTGCTTACTACTTTTTTGTTTCATACAGAAAATGCTTTTACGTTTCATGTTATACCCTTGGCAAGTTTAGAAAAAGCCTAACAATATATCTGGAATTTCCTAAGTCTGCAAAGTCAGTGAATGAGATTTAAAACTGAACTAAAAGTTGTAGATACATACACTCAAAGAATACTGAAGATCTGTTTCTATCTTACACAGAAGATGCATTTTTTCTATTATAGTAATGTCTTAGCTGCACAATTAAATTTTCTCAAAAAGTTTACCTATTTTGACTCTTCCTCTTTCAGGACCTTCACCCATTACCAGAATGTTTGCTGGTTTCTGGAAAACAAAAGCAGAATTTTTAGCTGATCAGCCTTTGATGATTATTTTTGAGAATAATATAATTACATACATTTATTTTATAAAGAAAGCATCTCTAGAAACACCCTTAGAAGTCTAAAAGTACTATACCTTTATCTTGCTGACATTTAGTTTTTATCTCTAGTTACCAATTTCACAATTAGAAAACAAAAATATACTTTGACATTTCACAGTAAGAAATGCCATCTTTAAGTAAATGTGCATTTCTATTGTTACTAGAATAATTCTATTCACTGGAGAGATTTTCTTCTGAGGGAAAGTTTTATATTAACCTAACTTTTATGCTACACATCAATAATCTGCCAAGAGTCACTTTTGCTGGTATAACTTATTTAAAGTGATGCCAAATCTTGGTATACAAATGCATAGTTGAGAGCCACTTTTGTTTTCATCCTATATAACTACATTTTAGAGCTGTACTTGTTTTTAGTGTATGAATGATAAAAATCACATGGGTAAAAACACTTTTTTCCCCACAAAGTTGATTTCACGCTATGAGAATTCTCTTGAAACAGGAGTATTCATGCACAGCTACATCCCAAAAGCTTTCATAGTGCAGACAGCAGCTTTACAAGTAGAACAAAACCTTTATAGGCATTTTTTGCAATCTATTTGTTTGCAACCAGCTGTTTGTGAACACCACAGAAAATCTGCACATGACATCACAGCAATTGTTCTGCAATTAGGATCTAGGTTCCCTCAAACATCAACAGTCATTCCTTGGAAGCTTTTGTCCTATTGTGTTAACAGCTGTAAAAAGTAAACAAGATTGAAAACATTAAGTGATTTGAATGAAGAGATGCATAACAAAGCTTCAAAGCAGGATTTTTGGAATATTATTCAAACAATAATTATATCTAAATCCTTAATGCCTGCAGAGGCGTCTGCTCAAGCAGGATTTGTTCAAGAATCTGAAAGAGATGTCCAGAAAATGTTGGAATCTCACTTAAATTCTCAGTTCCTTGCCACTATTTACCTGAAACGAGACACTCAAACTAGGGTTTCTAATTTGACTCAAAATTACACACCTTTAGCTTTTTTGAAAAAGGAAACAAACAAAAAAAGCACTCTACTTCACCTATTCTTTTTCCTTCCCCCAGGAAGCTGTTCTTCCCATCCTACACCCAGTGCTAACTTTGTTTCTTCCCTGGCTCCAACCATTGCCTCTCTTTCCAGATGCCTCTTTTATTCTTCCTTTTTTAATCTGTAATTCTCAACACCATCACTGACTTTTAATTCCCCAACATATACTGGAACCATTCAAGAGGCAAAATGCACTCCCTTCTTGGAAAACACAAGTCATTCCAATTGACCTTGAGCACTCACCAGCAAATCTAGGAAAGAGAAAGATGATGCTCACTCTTAGATAACGTTTAATGACAATAAAATCAACACCTCAAGGCAATTGCTGAACTCTGGTTGTACATTTATGTATTACCCTGAACTGAATATTCCAGAGAACAGAATAATCACTTTCTGCATATTCAGTAACCAGGCAGCAAGAGATGCATGCAAGTTCACACTACATTTTACCTCTGTTTACCCTAGAAATCACATGGATACAATTGTCCTAACCAAGTGAGCAAAACTCGAGTTTTCTTGATTAAATTCTTCCTAAACTTTTGCCTAGCAACTGATTCAGAGTTGAGTATGATGAGTTTGCCGGATTGATGTGCCAAAGCCAAATGTATGAGGTTCAACAAGTCAAAGTGCTGATTCCTGCCTTTGGGTGACAACAATCCCGTGTAGTGCTGCAGGCTGGGGAAAAGTGGCTGGGAAGCTGCAGCTGCAGGCACTAGAACAGGCTGCCCAAGAAACTGGTAGAATCACCATCCCCAGAAGTGTTCAAAAAAATGAGGATTTGCACTTGCAGGCATGGTTTAGTTCTACACATGGTGGTGGTGTGAGGTTAACGTTGGACTCAATCTTAGTGGGATTTTCCAATCTTAATGATTCTATGAATCAAAAATACTTCAACAGACCTTTACACTCAGGATTGGATTTTAAGCACTATAAAAATGCATTTACTTGTCAAGTGAAGCAAGCTGATAAAAATGATTTTACTGCACTGATTTATAGGTGAGGTTGTTTCTAATAAAAGAATTAGGTTGTAAGAAATAAACATTCTAACTTCAGCAGAAAGGACTTTCAGAACAACTCACAAGAGCCATATTTTATCTTTGGCAATATAATAGTCTCCAAATAGCAATTTATTCACAGAAAAAATCTCCTAACTCTTTAATCTGCTGACCTTATCCACAATATTCACAGAACATTTCAGGTTGGAAAGGACCTCTGGAAATAACAAGTCTAAAGCAGGGTTACAAATTACAGCAGATTGCTCAGGCCTGATCCAAGCTGGGTTTTAAACTTCTCCACAGATGGAGACTCTCTCTGAAACTTCCAGTGTCTGACCCCTCTGACAGTAAAAAAGGTTTATCAGTAGAGTATATTTACATCTTCTGCCTCCTGTTCTATCACTGGATAGCACTGCAAGGAGTCTGGCTTAGCTTTCTTTATTCACACTTATCAGGCACATATACACATTGATAAGATTCCACATGAGCCTTCTCTTCAGAGATAGAATAGCATCCTCAGCAAGATTCCCCAAAGCCCTAAGAGACTTAGTGGTCCCATGAGTACAGGAGATACACTAGGTCAGAGTCTATGGAAGCAGAAGACTTGTCCATTTATATATTTTTAAAGCCAGAATGCTTAGAAGAGATGTTGTTCTGATTAAAATTTAAATCTGTTCCAATATATAATCCACTGAGGATCAGAACTCTGCTTAGGCAGTCAGCAGAGAAACAAACTGATTTATGAACTTAGCAGATGTCACGTTCATTAGCTCTTGTGAACCCCTCTGAGAGAGTCAAGGGCAGGGGAAACAGGGAAGGAATAAAATGGGAAACAATTAAAAACTTTAATTGAGCAAAAGAGCAAGTACTTCTCCTGAGGCACCACCCCCAGTGTGAAGACAGCAGGGATTTCATGGATGGCAACCTGATGCCTGCAGGATCCCCGCTGTGTCAGCAACACTTTGCATCGTGGCACCTTCCTGAGAGGTGAGAAGTCTTGGTTCCAGCCTGTTTCTTAAGTAACAAGAAGCCTACATCCCAACTTCTTATTTCCCACATGAGCAAATTAACCACTTGATAATCTACAAATCAGCACTTTCTAAGTTGCTCTTGCTAATCAGAGCTGTTCTGGCTAGGAAGGGCTTTTCAATGTACATATGCTAAACCAGATGGGACCCATCTTCTTGAGATGCAATGTATAATATCCAGTTCCTGTGCCCATGAATTTTTATTTAATAAAAATAAACAGCTTCAGAGGAGCTTAAAATATAGGTCAAATATTTTGTGGTTGTTTTATATAATAATGGCTTGAATATCGTAAAACTCTTCCCAGAGCCTTCACATTGCACATACCATGGTGAGAGAAACACAACCCTTTGGCTAAAAAAGAGGCACCAAGGCAGAGCAGCAGAATTTCAGGTACTCAGGTATGGAAGAAAGATTTTGGTTTACTTCAGAGGGAATAATTTGGCACCAGAGATCCTCAGGAAACTATGTTAGGAAGGTTTCCATCATGAGGTAAGAGAAAGGACTACTGAAGGAGAATTCAAATGACCTCTGCTTCTTGGAGAAGGTAGAACATGTTAGCTCTACCGTAGTTCTTAGTAATCTCTGAAAATGGAAAATGTAGCATTTAAATTATCAAAACATTTTACTCCAAGATCATCACTTAGATGACAATAAAACTACAGCCTAGTATACTATAGTTACTGGACAGCTGCAAAAATCAGACTAAAAAGCAGGAATGAAAAAGCCCCACATTTCATTTATGTTCAGGCTATTTATGAGTCATAAGCACCAGTCTGGTTCCTGACACAAATCCTACTGTCAGCCATTTGATGAAGAAAACAGCGTTTTAGCTGGAAGGAACCATCAAGAACCAAGCAGCAGCTAAAAGACCAAAAGCTGGCACATATTTAAGAGTAAATTGTGTCTGTATACAAGAGGACAAAATTTTAATAAAGAAAGTTTGAGAAGCCCTGCTTAAAATCATTATCTAATTCCTCTAGAGTAATAGCTGGGTGAGACAACCCAATGAGGAGTACATTTTTCAAGCAGTTACATTCTAATTGATCCTCTATTTTCCTCATACTCTTCCCCCCTCACTGAGAACACAAACACCAGCTGGGAAGCAAAGTGATGCTGCTGCATCTCCCCCTATCTAGTTGCTATAGGAACAACAGAAACAGTAAGAATTAGGAGTCTCACATTTAATATAAGCTATAAAAATGAACAAGCAAATCCCTGCTGAGAAATTCAGTTGAGGTTTGACTGTCTAAAAAAACATTTGCAAAAAGAGCAAGGTTAACAGTAACAAACAACTGAAGCAAAAATCTGAAATATTTGCAAAAAGGGATGAAGATGACGATTCTTTACAAGTCTTTACAATAGGTTCAATAAGCATTGATAATAACATTTACTTTTCTACATTAGTGGGGGAGAGGGAATAAAGGAATTTTTAAAATCTTGATGGGAGAGAAATTAAAATGTTGGATTAACAAGTGTGTTTTCACAAATACAAGAAGAGTCACAACTGGGACTCATACAGACATTTATGTGAAGATACACTTCTAATTTTAATATTTAGACAGTAAAACAGAAGAAAGGTTGAAAGAAAAGAAACCATCTATGTTATTAAAAGATTATAATAGTTCAAAACAGGAACAACAACCTAACAATAGATGGCAATACTTCAGTTTTAATGGTTGTTGTGATCTCCTTAAGTACAGCAGTGACACAATTCATAAGAGATTTGGTGCAGAATTACAGTCCTATGAAAAAATGTCCATAGGGATACACCAGTTTCCATACACAATTCTTTATTGTTTATATCCAAACAAATGTGTTTCCCTTTTGGAATGTGCCACTGGAAAAAGAATA